CGGCTGCCATTTGCAGAAGCTGCAGTCAGACCACACACGCGCTGCTCCTGTCCGTGGCAAAGCAGTATTCATTATCCTGCCGAGTAGCAAATATTAAAACCGACTGTAGAAGTTGGATCTCCCCCCTCCTGCCAGCGAGGGCCTTATTCCAGGAGGGCGAAGGGGGAGGGTCTGTCTGCAGACTTTTTGTTTAGGGCTTGCAGATTCTGACAATGCCTCACCCGAGGCATTTCTTACCTGAGGGAATCAGGAGAGACAAGGCAGTAGCGGATGCTGATTTAATCACTTTATTGACAGGTCTTGAGGTACGTTTCTCCCCTGATTCCCCAGAGAGCAACCTGTGCCGTGCCCGCCGCACTGCCAAATCGCTGATGGCTTTTGGAGTGGTAAGATCTGGGCCGTCATTGCTATTACTGCGAGCGCGTGGATCAGAGAAATCTGCAGTGCTCCCAGCTACAGTTTAAATTAAAACAGATTAGAACCACAGGGAATTCCTAACAGTCTATTCCCCTACAGGCAAAATACATTAAATCAAAGTCATGTTTACATGAAGTCCAAGAGTAAATTTTCCTAAGAAGAAACCCCAGGGCTTGAATTTTTATTTACAGAAATGGTGTTATTCTGAATACAGAAAATTAGCGGCTTCTGTTCTGTTGGAAAAGCTTGCTAATGAAATCACGTTGTTCAGTAGCAGCTACATGAATCCTAAAGCTGCGGTGCAGTTCTGCAGGCAAGCCATTTCAATGGGATCGTTCACAGATGAAAACAGGTTTATGGAAAGTGCTCCATTTTTACAACCAGCAAGAACTGTCAGTCTTTAAGTTAAAACTGCCTGTAACAGAAGAACCAGGTTCTGCTGGAGTTGCACATAAAAAATCCACTTTAAGAGACTACTACGGTACTTAACGGGAAATGTGGATTGCAAAGACAACCCTAATTTGCCCCCTTCTGTGCACCATTGCAATTTAGTCTTGAATTACTTAACCCGCTATAACTATATATAAAATGCAAAGTAGTCTTCAAAATCAGACTGGGCATGCAACAACAGCAGATGCTGGGGGCTGGGGATGCTGTACTCAAGCTCGGTGCCTCAGTTCCCCATCTGATACCTTAAAGGGGCACTGTGAATATACATTAATTAGAATTTACAAGGTGCTCAGAAATGAAAGTGGTGAGCATCACAGCAAGTCCACAAGGGAAATTAATCATTCTGTCTTCAAAAGCAAATTTTAAGCTGCGTGCAATAAATAAAGCCTAAGGGCCACGTTTTGAACAATGAGGACAGAACAAAACATTGATCATCGTTATTTAAGTGGGCACGATTGCTCTGCATACTAAGTAAAGCAGAAAGTACCATGGAAATAAAAATTCAAAGCACCATTGCCATAGACCTCAGTACCAGATGCCAGTTCAACATTTAACAGCCACAGAGCTTCAAATAAGGCTCCCAGACAATGAGGAACCCAGAATCGGAGGCTGCGTGTGAAAAGGCTGCAATAGGCATTAGAGGAGTACACCAAGACACTGACAGGAATAAAATTCTTCCCGTGCAGTCCCTTGCCTCTGACTTAACTTTGCAGGCTGGGGACACTGAAGCAATGGTATCCCTGAATCCCATGCGCTGGACTAAAGACTGCTCTAATGCATTAGGCTCAGGGGAGCAGGCTGCCCAGGAAAGCCTCATTTTTGCCTATTTCAACTTGTAGATACTCAAATTTGCAATGAAAGTGTTCTTGCAATTTTTAATAACATGTTTCTAGGCTTTTAGCATGAAATCAGAAACTAAGGTTCCACTTTGGCACCTACGTCACCCAAGTATGCGATAGCTTACTTCCTTCACCCCTACACCTTTTCCCATGGGTTAATGGAATACGCGATGGCAGCACCGGGCCTCCTCTGGGAAGATGAGCCATACAGGGGAATGGGACAATTTTAGAGGAAATTTCACAGACTGCATTGCAGAAGAGGAATAATGATCTTTGGCTTTACTCTAGGCTGGAGGCAAATGTCCTCTAAGGCATTTCCACCTTCTGCTGTCAATCCACCACCACATCTGCCCAGTGCCCTTCACTTTGTTCTTGCCCAGTCTTGCTACCACTCTGACTCTGTACCCCTTTCCTCTCCTTTCCATCCTCCATGCATTCACAATTTCTTTGCCTGCTTGCTCCCAGTTTCTCCCAGCAACTTGTTTCTTAATTTCTTACCCAGTTAGTCCTTGTTCTTCAACACTACAATCTAGTTCCTCCCCTAAATATGCCTTACTTCTCAAATATTATCTTGCCAACCTTCAATCCATTTTTGCCGCTCTCTTCCATTGGGCCAAATTTCCTCTCTTTCTTCCTTACTACTTCCCACCAGTTCCCAGCTCTGACTTCCTCTGTGCTCAGAAACAGGCATCTTCTACCTCCTGGTGCCCTGAGAGGGGCAGGGGCTGCTGATGCTCCAGCACCCAGAGCCCAGTCCTGCGCTGCAGCAGCCCAGGGCACCATTGCTGGGAAGGTCCTGCTCAGCCCAGTGCTGGAGAAAGTCCCCAGGATGGACAAAGCTTCTGAGAAGTCAAACACTGACTTCTAAGACTCACTCTGCTAAACCTAGGCTGCACCTTCTTAAGCCTGCAGCTTGTCTAAATTTTGGGATATTTGGCTGAGACAGCAAGTAGCATGTCCCTGACACAAACCCCACTCCCCCAGTGAATTTCAAGTCTCTGTTCCAGACTTTTTGGATAAAAAATACCATAGGAAGCAGAGATCTGTTAGTATGCCTGACACCCATATTCTCCAGCCCCAACTCAGCAGTGATCTGCTCTGACTAATGCTTAAAATAATGCTGCCTGAGGTAGGCACCCAGTGGTTGTAAGTAGGCATAGATCACAGGGGTCTCAAGCATGAGAAGACCTTAGTCCATCTGAAGTGAGAAGACTGAAATAAAACATGTCATTTTAAAGAGATAAACCACTGATATTATTTTAAAGGCAAGCACATCCACAAAACTATACTAAAATAACCACTTAGCATGAGACACTCACACCACTCGCCTTTCAAATCCGCAGTTTTACGGAGTTAACATCTGCAAGCTAACACTGCTTTCTTGGGGATCACGACAACATCACACCAAGCACGTACCTGTCAGCGTTGAGGCGCTGCTGACAGCCGTGGAGGGGGTGGTGGATCCGGTATCACCTTCCAGCTGCAGCTCTTGCTCCACAGGCTGTTCTGGAATGGGCACTGGCAGCCCCTCCCGCGACTGCACAGCGGACAAGAGCATCCCCTCGGACTGCGGCCTTTTGAGAGCAGCTCCCTCGTCCTCGGCGGAGATGGCAAAACGGGGCATATCAAGAAGCCCTGAGCAGCGTCGGCGGACCGTCAAGGGTGGGCTGGAGTCGCTCTCCGTGTGTGAAGATTCAGACATAGACAAGCGCTTACGCAGTCTAAGAGAGCAAACGAGAGAGAGCCCCTCAGCTGAGTTAGGGGGATATGGAACTTTAAAGAGAGAAAACAGCACACAGACCCCACTCACACATCTGAAGCCAATTTAAGGTGAAGTTAGGAGACCAAGCTACATCATTAGGATTTAAAACAGCAAAGGCTTGGGGCATCACCTGAGTCTAGATTTCCAATATATTCTATTGTTAAGCTTCTAAGAAAGGAAGGAATAAAACCAAATTCTGGGCATTCATATATTTTACCGACATTTTTATTAGAACACAAGATTTGTTTGGATAATCTGAATATTAGAAACTTTGGACTTTCCGAATGGTTTCTCTAATTTGTGACAAACGGTAAAAGTGTTGCAACATCAGACTTTGGATTTGTTTAAGAAAAAACTGCTGTTGGTATGTCTCCACCATAGCTAGCTTTTCAACAAATGAGAGCTTTACTTAAGTTGAGAATCCTCTTAAGTTAAAGTATTTGCCACAGATTTAGGAGATGTTAGTACTTAACTAGACACGTTTAAGGACTATATCACTTCTACACATTCATTTTCAGCTATTTATTCCACTCCTCAGGCTTCACCTGTGTAAATACATAAAATGAAGCATTCCT